TTTTGAAGGCACCCCTCATGTTCTTTATTAAGACGGCACCTCTGCCCGGATTTGGGCTAAGATGCCAATGCTTTGCTTGCTGTTGCTTTTCCATTGGCGGTATTATGAAGAGAAGCTAAATGTTACTAAGAAAATACATGTAGCCTCACAATCCCCCTGAAGGACCTCATCCCAAGCGGGCCTCCAGACCACACTGAGGTATACCCCCTGGGCCAGGGGCATGTCAGACTTCAGTATTCCTGAGATTGGACTCCTCAAGTCCAACAGTTGTGCATGAGCTGTATCTATATTTCTTTCCACTTTTAAAGTTTTTATTTCTGTTATAGTTTATATTGTTTCTTTCTGATCTTTGATCTCTTTGGTGTTTACATTTTCTAAATCTGATTTTGGAGATTTTAAACCACTTTTATATTTGATTCCCACCTGTCCATTCCTGAGGAGTCACATGCAAAGAGCTTCCTTTCTGACCCGCCCCCACCCCCCAAACACACACACATACTCACATCCCCTCTATTTAGTCACATCTGACATTGACATGAGTTAACAATGAATTGTGTGGGAATACAACTTGCTTTTAGTGTTGTTGTTTTGGACTCTGGGCCCTGAGGAGACATTTAGTTTTGCAGCACTGCCTGGAATAACAGCCTCATTATCAGTGCTTTTTCTTGCTACACATTAATAGACTCAGTTTTTTTTCATCTTTTCCATTTAAGATTGTTGATAGTAAATACAGACTGAGGTAATGACTTGAGCTCTTGTTTACTCTGAACATAACCAAGAAAAGCACAATGTCCTTTCACAATAGTACATTTTTTCCTCTGCAGGTGGATTCTACAAAGTAGTTGACTTTTCTTTTAAATCATGTCGTTGAATCAACAGGTGTTGTCTACACGCACACAAAGAAAAATAAAAGGCTCCTTAACACCGTGTCCATTACACACGTCTGCTGTTTGTATAGGTACTGAGTAGTCATTAATCGCTTTTAAAATCCAGATGAAAAATTTTGAATGGATTTATTACTAAAAGCAAATGTAATTTCCCTTTAATAAAGTACTGAATCATTGTTTTTGTTTCCAAAAAAGCATTATAGCATTTTACTAGACGAATACATAGACTATGTGCCAAATAGCCCTCTTTTTGTGCGACCACTAACTTACTACGTTGTAAGAGTTCTATGAAGCCATAATTTTGGGTTAGGATGGTGCTAGTGAATTATTATCTTTGATAGTGCTGGGTTTATTCTGTTCGGGGACTTAAATTTTACATATTGGAATTAATTAAATTTTATGAGTGAAGTGGGATCCATATGTTAAATATGTGAATACAATTTTTTAAATCATTTTATTGGAGACTCATAAAGCTCTTATCATAATCCATACATACATCCATTTTATGTCAAACACATTTGTACATTTGTTGCCCTCATCATTCTCAAAATGAATAGAATTTTTGAAAAAGATACTTATTCGATTGATTAAGGATAATGTAGTATTCTATAATTTGCTATTTTTTTAAAGCATATAAACTGTTTAAATTCACGGTCGTAAAGACTTGTATGACTAAAACTACTTGTGAAATTACGTGTGAGGAGTTTCAGATACTTGTCCTGACCAGTGTTTGACCTGAAACCAAAACGGGTAACACAGGTCTAGTAGCACTTTGAAATTCGCTGATAGAGTCAGGGTACCCTAAAAAAGGGTGTGGTGGCACCCCCGTGTTTCATAGTGATGGAGAGGAGTTTTGGAGCCCTAGCGGCATTTTAGGTTACGTGTTAGGACTAACCAGGAGGTCAGCAGTTGAAAATCAGCAGGTGCTCTGCAGGAGAAAGATGACACTCGCTGCTCCTGTAGAGATTCAGGCTTAGAATCATGCAGGAGTAGTGATGTGTGTCTACGCATTGGGCTGCTAACCACCAGGTCTGCAGTTTGAAACCACCATCTGCTGCAGGAGAGGGAGAGAGAAAACTACTCTCATTGGGAACTGTTCTCAGTCACCCCCGCCTTCCTTCCTGGTCATTCAGTTATTATGTTCCTCTTAGAAAACATCTATCTACTCTGCACTTCTTACGTAATGTTACCATCACAAACAACTCGGCATAAGGATACCAGGCTCAGACATTCATTTTTTGCTCAGTCATGAACTTTTTGGAGATACTAACTTGGGGTTTTATGTCTCAGTTGGTGCCCAGACTCCAGCTTTATTCCGGAAAAATGGTTTTGAACATTGTTGTTGTTTTTATAGTGGGAGAAATCAGAATGAAAATCTGTCTTCATAAGTTTATTGGAAGAGATGATGATAGGGCATGCCAGGGGAATCTCCACCCACAGTCTGGAGGTTGGGACAGCCCAACAGGAACTGCCTGAGCCCACTGGGAGGGAGCTCGTTGACTGTCCGGAGAAAACCCGGAAGTAGCCTTGCGCATGCATTTGCTGGTTTGGATTTTGAGGAACCTATCCATCCTGTGAAGGAAAGCCTGTGTACGGCGGCAGTTGGAAGACCAGATTAAGAATGGAGTAAGCCACATAAGCCGCTCACTGTAACCTTGATCTGCGAATCAGTCTCTGCAGCATGGGTTTCTCTAACGTTGGGCCTGGCTTGGTTCTTTTTATTGTGTGTGGATATGTTCTGTGGGTTTTAGGATGTCTAACAGCGTCCGTGTGCTGGGCACAGTTTGAACCCACTGTTGGAGCTGCTGTGTCAATGTCTCTCGTTGAGGGTCTTCCTCTTTTTCACTGACCCTCTCTGTCCAGGTCTGATCCCGTCTGATAACATACGACATCCACGGTACTTTCAGTATTCTTTCTTTCTTTTAAATTCTGTATTCTTTCTAACAGCACTGTAATTGGAAGACATCAGTTCTCTGGTCGTCCCTTATTCATGGTCCAGCTTTTACATACCTCTGAGACCATCGAAAATACCATAGCGTGGACCACGCTCATCTTAGTCCTCAGTGACATCTTTGTTCTTTAACACATTAACGAGGTTTTGTTCAACGGCTGTCAGAGCCCTCCATATGATGATTTATGAGATTTTTTTTATAAAAAGAGGTCTTGTGCAGCAGGTTTACCCATTGCAATCCGTGTGTGTGCTTATGACTGCTGGTTCTATGCACATTCACTTACTTAGCACCACACGTCTGGCATTTTTCTACCATGCTGTTCTCCCACGAGACTCCTTTTACACTTCGTTTAGGATGTTTCTGGATCTCCTCCAAAAATTAGCAATTTTAAAACTAGAACTTTATGTACATGTAAATTCTGTAATCAATTTCTTCAAAATTCATCTAAGATGTTTCTGCAATTGAGATTCCTTGAATTAGAAATGTATTTTGGGTAGAATTGCCATCTCAACCCTGAGACTTCTAAGACACGAGCAGAAGCTATCTCTTGTACCTTTCTCAGAGGGGCTTCCCTGGGGCTGCTGCCACAGTGAGTCTCTTACAGTTGTCATCTATGATAAATTGTTTCCTGCTCCTAATAACAGAAATACAGGTGAGTAGTTTCTCTGTTTTTCTCCTCTAAAGCATTTTCCCCCAGTAGATTCTTCAGGGATCTTATATAGAAACAGCTGTGCCTATAAAAGAAAAAAAGACCATTTTCATTCTTTCCATTATGAAAACCTTTTAGGGATTCTTCTTGCTTGATCGAGAGCTTCGTATAAGAAGAGGCATCATCACACCTGTCTTTTTTCTCATTTTTTCTATTACCTGTTGTATTAATTTGAAAAGTAGTCCTGGGGGGTGGTACATTGGCTGATTGCTCAGCTGCCAGTCTTTGGTTAGAACGTCCCACCCCTTTGAAAGAGAAAGATGTGACACTTTGCTCCCTTAGAAATGTATAGCTCAGCATACCCTATGGGGAAGTTGTCTACTTTGCTCTAACGGTCACTGATTCGGGAATCAATTTAATGGCAATAGACAGTGCTTTGGTTCGTTCTCTTTATTTTTTTAATAGTTCAAGGTCTCTTTGTTGACCTTTAGGAATATTTTCTGATTGAGTCTGATGGGGTGCCACGCCTTGGCCCCAAAGTCTATTTTTGGTATTCCCTCCGGACTTCATTGCTCTGCTCCCCTTGCTGTTCTGTTGCATGCCCTTAGTGTTTGGACTCTGTGTGGTGGGGTCAGATCAGGTGCAATTCCCACTCTGTGTCTCCAGTGTTGTTCCCTGTAGGGCTATGGGTCAGTGAGGGATGTCTGTCTCATAGTGGGGCCAGCCATATGGTCTTCTCTGTGGATTGGCTGCTCTGAGTGGGAATTTTGTCCTCAAGGCTTGGTGGGCCAGGATGTGCTCCACTCTCTCTTCCTCCCTCTTCATTTGCTCCCACGTGCTCTGATCAGAAATGTCCCTCTCCCTGAGCTGCTGCTTCAGTGCTGTCCTCTGAAGTGAAGTAAATTCTTCTGGGGAGATAGGTCGTTGTCCATGTAGTTGGGATTGGGCCCGGACCCTCAGACCTCTCCACTGGTTCCCTGCTTCGTGCCTGTATGTTGAGTTCATATCTTGGAGTGCCAGGTTGAAATCTGGTCCCTCATTCCCAGAGCATCCCTGGCCCGCCTTGTGGAGATGGCTCTCTTTGGCCTGGGCTGCTCAGACAGGTAGTTGGGAAGCGTGAACGGAGCTCCGGGCTCCAGCGGGCTGGTTCGTTCTGTTTCTTACAAAGAAAGATTAATTCACCGCCATCGAGTCCATGCTGACGCATCGTGACCGTCCATGAGACAAGGTAGAGCTGCCTCTGGGTCTCAGAACAGGTAGAACTGCACTTCTGTGTGGGAGCAGAAAGGCCCGTCCTCTGCAGAGCAGCCAGAGGTTTCCAGCTGCTGCCTGTGCCGTTCATAGCCCGACTCATAACCGCCACCCCACCAGTGCCCCTTCCCCAAAAGGGATACAAGCTAGCTCAACAACTAGTCACAGGCCTCGGAGGGTACTGCTTGTTAACTCACTGTTAGCTGACAGTAACAGCCCTAATTTTTATTTTTCTTTGTTTCGTTTCATTTTTCCTTTCAGGCCCTGGAGATGTACAAGGATGATTGGAACAAAGTGTCAGAACACGTTGGAAGTCGGACTCAGGATGAATGCATCCTCCACTTTTTGAGGCTTCCCATTGAAGACCCCTACCTGGAGAATTCTGACGCTTCCCTTGGGCCTCTGGCCTACCAGCCTGTCCCCTTCAGTCAGTCAGGAAACCCAGTCATGAGCACTGTGGCTTTCTTGGCGTCTGTGGTGGATCCACGCGTGGCATCGGCTGCTGCAAAAGCAGCTTTGGGTATGGTCTTGCTTAGCCCGCTTCCTCAGTCCACTCCATACTGCAATGAGCTCAGCTGGTTGATGTATATACTTTTACACAGTTAACAAAATACTCAGGATTTACCCCTTTAAAGGTACCCTGTGCTGTTTAAAATTATTAAAGCATTTTAAAGTTAAGCACTTAAAGTCGAATAATTGAGACCATTGGAGACACAGTTTTTCATGGTACATTTTCATGATTAATATTTCATTTTTAAAGTATATTCTCTATAACTAGAATTTCCTAATGTTACAGAATTTTTTCTTAGCTTTCAAAAAACCCTCAAAACTCACTGCCATTAAGTCGATTCCAATTCACAGGGATCCTTTAGGACAGAGTCGAACCTGCCCTCTGGGTCCCTGAGACTGGAACTCCATGTAGAGGTAGACCGCCTCCTCTCTCTCGGCTGCTGTTTCAAACAGTTGACCTTGTGGTTAGCAGCCCAACACGTAACCACTATGCTCTCCTTTCATTTTTCTTGATTTTCTTTCTATCCTGTACATCACTACCTAAAATTTGGGCAATATTTTGAGTGTTAGAGAACATTACAGACTTCGCTTATTTATAGCACAAAGCACTGTGACATGTAGAATAAAACCTATTGTCATAAAGTTTCATTAACAAATGTGAGCATCTCATTGGGAGCTCTCACTTTACTGGTATGGGGAAAACATCCCAAAAATCGCTACACCCAAACCACAAATGTGGCTTCAGATTTCCTGGTGTTTCTTCTATCACATTAAGTGTTGGTGCCAAACCAGCTCACTATTCTCTCTCTATTTGTGAATAGAGGAATTTTCTCGTGTCCGGGAGGAAGTCCCATTAGAATTGGTTGAAGCGCATGTCAAAAAAGTACAAGAAGCCGCACGGGCCTCTGGGAAAGTGGACCCCACCTATGGTCTGGAGAGCAGCTGTATTGCAGGCACGGGGCCTGACGAACCCGAGAAGCTGGGTGAGTCACTGGCCTCCCAGCTTACCGAAATACGCAATGGGTCCGCGTGTGCAAGAGTACGATGATCAATTGTGTTATATCAAAATGAGAATGCGAAGGAGATTTTTGTGGTTATTCTAATAGAATTTTAGCCCCCCCCCCCTTTTTTTTTTTTTTTTGAGGAACTGCCAAACTGTCTTTCCATGGTGGCTGCACCAGTTTATATTCCCTCCAGCCAGCAGTGCGCCCTGCACAGCTCTTGATAGGTTTCCTTTTTCAGTTCTAGTTATTCTGGTAGGTCGAAATATTACATTGTTCTGTTACATGCTTCCTAAAGACTCCGGATGCTGGGCATTATTTTCATGTGCTTACTGACCGAATTGTATGTCTTTTGTTGTCTTGTGCTTTGTTCAGTTTTCATATATAGATGCGCGCATGAGAAAATTTCAAAAAATTTACTTTCATTTTTCCATGAACTTTTTTTTTTAGGCTTCAGGATATAATTTTATTACCATTCCTCTGG